ATGGCTCAGAAGGGCAAAAAAAAAGTAGTTATTCAAGGCTGGATACTGTCCTGGGTGTGCTTCTGTAGTATGGCAGTGGCAGTCCATGGAGAACTGAGAAGAATTTATGTTATGTGACTTCTTGGTCTTTTTACATAGTGGCTTCAGAGGCACTGATAAGGAAAACATCACACCCTTTTGAAGTGGTAGATAAGATAGACTTAACTGACAAGGAACCAGTCAGAAGATGCAGTGATTTGTCAGGGGCCACAAAAACACACCTGTGTTAAGAATAAATCTTAGGACTTCTAGTCTCAGTTGCATGGTTTAATTACAACACTCCTTCCTGAATATTGACCTGACATACTGTCATTTTGTTTTGGTGTATGTTTGTCTCATATTGCAAAGTGAGTTTTGAAATAAGAAGGAAAAAAAGCAAAAATACTTCTTGGAAAAAAACCCCTCAGAACATCGTCAGAAACACTTAAAACCTGCTGAAGTTGTTTTTTTTTTTTTTCTTTCTTTCTTTTTTTCCCCCTCTCTTTTGTTATTGTGAAACATATTGGCATGAAAATAAAGCCAATAAACAAAGCCAGTGCTGCTATTGCAAGCATTAGAAATGGCAAAACTGAATTAAAAAATAATGAAACTTGAAAATTAGAAATGTTAAGTTCTTTTTATCTCTCTTGTGCCTACACCAGTAGAAATCTGGCTGAGGTATTTTTCATATTTTTACATGCAAAATTATGCACAAATTTGCACAAATGTACAAAATCCAGATACAAGTCCTGTGGTGACTGATGGCTCTTGTGTAAACATACAGCTCTTAATGGATGCATGTAGTATCCTTCTCTGTGTTTGTAGAACATGAAAAAGTAGTTGTAGGATAAATGATTAATTCACTTCAGACATAACACTTTTCATGCTTCATCTACAGTGAGGTTGATGTATTTTGCTTTACAATCTGGCTGCATCCTAAATGCCCTTACTCTGAAATGGGCATTTCAACAAGTCTGACTTTCCTGGAAGGACCAGCAATACCTCAGTGCATCTTAATCATCAAGCCAGTGGTGTGTCTAGTCTGGAAAAAACTGCATCACCAACTTTGTTGGCTTAAGGGAACAGTATTAATTACCTACAAGTGAATGCAGGAATAGAAGATTCTTAAAAATTAAAGCAAATACCCCCAATCCCTGGAAGTGTCCAAGGCCAGGTTGGACAGGGCTTAGTGGAAGGTGTCCCTGCCCATATCAGGGGGTTGGAATGAGATGATCTTTACAGTCACTTTCCACTCAAACCATTCCCTGGTTCTAGGAAATAGCTCTTGTTTAGTACATTTTGTATGGTCTTCAAGGTCAAGAATAAAATCAGATACTTCAGAGTATCTGATTAGATGGAAGGATGTCCTTTGCCTTTGGACATTACAACAGTCTGTGGTTTCACTTCTGGAATTTCACATATGACTGCATGCACCATGTGTTTTCTGTTATATTGAGAATAAATTATTTTGCCCATGGAAAAATATTTCCTGCTTACTTTAACTGGTAGATGAAATGTTGCTAAATCTGTAGAGATGGGGGTCTGTCTCTAATAAATAAAAACTAATTCTGTGTTAGGGTAGAATATTGTCTCCCATTTTGTGATTGCATTTATGTACCTGATGCAGAACATGTGTGTGCTGATGAGATATGTCTGGATTCCCACATATTGATCTTTTTGGTCCTAAGTGAAGTGAATTTATCTGACTTTTACCTTTCAAGGAGGATATTTGTCGACTTGATGAAACCCCCATGAAATTTGGTCCTCTCTTCTGGAGGAGACATGGGGTAGAATAGCAGTGGGAGTAGAAAAAGCTGAGTTTAGGGGTTTAGACTGAAGCAGGGGCCTTGGTTTATTCCTTTTTTGCAGAGTTGGACAATGTTTTAGGCTGAGGTTTTAGAGGGTAGACTCTCCTAAAGATGACTGAGTTGTATGGGCAGTGCCTGCTGATATTTATAGCTGGTTTTAGCTGTAGCTTTTCACTTCAAAAAATCAGATTCTTCGTGCAAATTGATGACAGATCACCAGAGTGAGAGGAGATGTACTTGCACATCCTCGCTTGAGAATGTGGCCCAGACTGCTCCATGGAAACAAAAGAGAGAAGCAGATGCGCTGCTAGTTTTTGCTTTAAAATCTCTTCTGCACGCCTGAAATGGAAATGTGCTCGTTGGGTTTCTCATTTATTTGCATCTAGATAATTTTTCCCTGTGGAATTGCAAAGCTTCCCTGTCCTTTGCCCTGAAAGCAGGTGCCCTGCAGACAAAAGCTGGTACCTGTCTGTCACCCCTCCCTGTCATTGCTGTGCACCATCCTCCTCGAGGATGCCGTGACCTTGTGGAGCAGCTTTGGCTGTTTAAGATGTCAGTCCCAATGTCAGGAATCTCTCTGGTGCAGGAGGCCTCCCATTCTAAATTTACTGTCCTGGTTTATGGTCCCTCCTGTGGCTGCAGCAGGAGGCCCCTCGGGTAACCCTTTGTGCACAGAGCCCCTCGCAGGAGCTGCTGGCAGGGTCCTGGCAGAGTGGCTGCCACCATGTGCTCTTCTGCTGCTGCTAGGTAAGATCAAATGCAAATAAAATCCTGTAATTCCAATTAGGTTAACAGGCTGTCCTTGGAACGTTGTAATTTTGATGTCCCAAGATGCTGATGGGGCCTCGGACAAAAGTACTCCTGGGAGAAGAGCACTGTTTTTATTCTAAAACAAAGATTATTTAGCATTTGTTTTAGCAACCTTTATAACATCCTGTATGCCAGCAATAGTTATGGCTTTAGTTGAGTGCCTAATAATAATAATAATAGTTATGGATAGACTTTGAGGGTTTTTTTCTTGTGCCTGTGTACAAAAGAAGTGCAAAAGGCACATACACATCAGGGTAAATGTTATTTTTTCACTTTACACTGGGAAAAACTGGGAAACACATTAGTTGACATAAAAAGAAATTCAGGTGACACTTCTGTTCCATATTGTTCCTAAAACAACTTCAGTCTCTCTCCCCTGTCAACATTTTTCTTCTTCACAAGAAATTTTTTGTTTGTATAGGAACACATGCTCCTAATTCACTTGGGCCTTTTCAGTGTATTGCACAGGAAAGACAAGTTCACTGGAAATCTAAAAGCATTTTCTAAAGGAAAATAATACTTCTGTGCAAAGCTGTATTGATGGAAAGTCGATCAGAAGTTTCTTCTAATGCGTCATTATTTAATCTGTGACTTTATTTTGTCCTTCAAGTGGTCCTTGGTACCTTAGAGTACAAGCAAATTATGTAGCAGAAAGTTAATTGCTTTGTTCAGTGAGGAGAAAACATGACCGTGCTGTTAAGTTGCATTGGCTGCTCCGTGGCAGGAGGGAGCCTTGTAAGCAGCACCTCATGAACAGTATTTATTAGCATGGCAAATATTTTTCTTTGTGCTAAACTCAAGTCTTACATGCTGCTCTTTTGTGAAGGATTAATTTACCAGTAAATTTGCTTTTGTGAATTACCGAAGTTTTGAATAATAATTTTTAATTTCTCTCCTGACATAAGTTCTTTGCTCAATGGTGTTTAAGTTCTGCCTGGGATTTTGTAATGTGACTTGACTTGCCAGTGCTGCAATGCTCTTTTCTCTCCCATTTTGTCACATACAAACATGCTATGAAACCCTAAAATCTACAGAGTAGCTTCTCTGCAGCATTCTGAGTACACAGCTCTGCTGCCAAGCCTCAAGATGGAAGCTGGTTGCCTGCAAAGGGCAGGAAAATAGTGTTTAAGCATTTTAGGCATTTTAATTTTCTTATCTTTTTGCTGGGGAATCAGTTAATGAATACTGCTGGAGGGAGAGTGGAAGGACCATGGGGGAATAGTCTGACCTGGTACTACAAATCCCACGCTCCTACTTTTATGTGGAAAGATATCATTTTCAATAGGGTACCTATATGATTTATAGTTTGTTAATCTTAGTATAGACAGGTCTTGCACTGCTCCTTTTAAGACTTCCTTGTCTCAGCCATCATTAAAACCATCATTAAAAAGGGATGGGATTCAGAGCTAAGATACCAACTACACCTCTGGGTAGAAGATTTGGTCTTCACTTAGGCTTACAAGATTTGCAGGTGTAGCTTGTTGATTGAAAGCCCCTTAAATTGAAGCTGTTTTATTCCTGTGATAGAACAGTGACTGGACACCATTTGGTTTACTAACACATTTCTTGTCATGTTCTTTTTCTTGGGCTGGTGATGAGCCACCAGACAGTCTGCTTTGTTATATCAGAAGGAGGTTATTGCTTCTTCAGGAACACCAAGTTGGAGTTTGCATTTATGTTACAGGCATCAGATAGGTATATATATATATATAAAATTTTTGTTTGCATGCAATTAACAAATACCCTCCAGCATTGAGTCACATGGATTCAAAGTTACGTTGCATAAAAGAGGATGTTGCTATTTTGGAAAGACTTGTGTAGGTAAATTTTTTACATGATTTCATTGTTGTGAAAGTGCCCAACTGATGTTAGTCAAAAAGAAGGAAAAAATTAATGACAAACAACAGATCCTAGGCTGACCCAAAAAGGGGCAGTCTTCCAAGAAAGAATGGAAGCTTTGGAATTCTTTCCCTGTTATATTTTTGGACAGTGCAGAGTTTTTTAAACTCAGGCTGTGTTTTGAAGAATTTTTTTAAAGCTCTTCGAGCTTTAAAGCAATTTTCTTACACCTAGAGAAATTTGAGACTGTGCTTGTTGAATTCAAAGGAGACAAATGTGAATTGATGCTGTCATGGTTCTGCTTTGTAAAGATGCATGTTGAGAGGTAAATAACATACAGATAAATAACGTGCAGGCAGGTTTTTACCAGCCTTACTATTTTAGACTAGGCTTATACAAAAGGCTCTAATGAGATCATTAAGGGCCCAGCCACACCAAGCAGCTGCTGGGGAAACAGATTTTAAGACTTAGGTTTCTTACTTAATAGAAAAAGTAAAAATATCTTGTGTTTTATTTTAACCACAGGTCGACTTTACCTGGTTGATACAATAGCAGGAGATCCAGAGGTTCTGCAAGCAGATGCTGAAACATACTATGAAAAACTCTTGAAGAAGTCACTGTCCACTCCTGATGTTTTTTCCATCCCTGGAGGAGGAGAGGTAGTAGGCTGATGTTTCTCATGCTTGCAGTTAGATACTTGCAGATTAGTTTGTTGATTGTGCTCGTATATGCTGATAGGGTTAAACTGGTATGGCTGGATTGCAGAAAAAATCAGTAAATCCTGCCTTATTTCAAATAATTTGCATGCTGTAAATGAGAGATAAGCTTAAACTCAAAGTCTGAGTGTTGAAGAGGGTTTGAAGTATTTTGGTGAACTTTGCATCTTGACTTGCCTCCTTACAGGACTGAATCAAAAGCGAATTTTATAGAGATTTATACCACAGAGCTGCTCTGTATTCTGCCTCTGCTGTGCAGTTTACACAGGCATTGTGACACAGTCTATCTTTTGTTTCCATCCTTTCCAGTAATTTATATTGGTAATTTTGAGTGTGGATTTTCCCAAAGGAATTCTGTTCCTAAGACACCTGGGTGGAATAGAGATGACTGAACAGGCCTATTAAACATTTTTACTGCAGTCAACCTATGAAACCTTTAATTCTGGCATTTTGTAGGTCATAAAAGGTGTGCTGAGGTACCTGTTATTGTGCTATCAAAGCAGAAATTGGATTAGTTAAAATGAATGTTTGGAATACAGTTGCTTTTCTGCAATTTAGGAAAATAATATGCAGTAGTTTCCAGAAAAATGCTGTTCCAGGTGGGATCAGCTTTGGCTTTGAGCTGGGAATGTAACGGGGTTTAAATACTCTTTTAATGCCCTCTAGTGGAGCCTGTAGGGCTGAATACAGAGTGAACGTGCAAAGATCCCCCAGTTTAGGGCTTCTGTGTCCTTACCTTACCTTCCATGCCTGCTTGTACTTTCAGAGGTTCCAGTAGAAGGGAGAGGAGGTTAAAATCCCAGGCAGTGCTGTGTGTATTCCTGCAAAAGCCACACACACTGACATCTTTTAAAGGTGGACTTCTGGCTTTTGATTCACAACTGTCTTGATTTTGTAGCTTGTCACCAGCCCTTAAATATATCACATGACTGATTTGAGTCTCATAGCAACACATTTCTCTTTGCATTCATTTAATTCAGGTCTAATCTAATCTGCAGTCAGACAGTCAAGGGTATAAGTAATGGTAGTGTTCTTGCTGTATTGTTTTTTTCCTTATAGTCTATAATAAATAGCTCAAAGAATGTTGATGTTTTGTAATTTAAAATAACTCAAATATAATAAGGTAAAGCTTCCATTCCCAGTGAAGATCCCAGCTAACAGTCTCTATTATAGACCCACAACCTGAGGGATGAGGGGTTTGGTGTTTGAATAATGGCTGCATTACCAATAATTTTTTTCCCCTTCTGCATCTGAATTAAAACAGGTTTGAAGTGGCAGGACTGGCAACAGTGACTAATTATTTAGCAGGAGTTAAGTGGCTGTCAGCCCACTTGCTGGGGTCACAGAACTTCTTTTTGGTATGGCTTGGTCAGGCATTCAGGACACAAATAACAAGGATTCCTGCAAGTCAGGATGAGAGCCCCACAGGCTGGCAGCAGCCACACACAAAGCTGTGCTTGGCTCATGATGCTCTTGTTAACACCTGTGAAAGTGCACATTACCTTATCAAACAAAATAACAGTCATGGCAATATTGGGAGTAGTCCTGGCCTCTTCATTATGGAAATGCTCCCAGGTACTTAATGACATTGATGCTGTTATGTTTGAAGCATGCAAAGAACAACTGAATCCCCAGATTTAGGCAAGCTCATGAATACGGATTTCAAGTAGTTTTCAAGTTGGTTTTTTTTTTTCCTGGAGTCCAGTGTTTGCATAGATGCTTCCAGGATTCTGGCACTCATCAACTACTGAACACTGGTTTCAGCTTAGAGTTGTTATCCAGAATAATCCATATTCATATTTCTTCCATGTACCAAGAAATATTAAATGTAACACGTGACTGATTTGAGTTTCATAGCAAACTGACAAATGGGTGCAATTAGAGAGAGAGGCACACCCACACATACACAATGGACCAGATTTTGGAAAGTACAGTACATACTGTGCTAAGTCATGCACGCTCTTTGCCTGTACCTAAACTTACATGACAGCATTTGCAATATTCATATGGAAATCGTCATTTCTATGCATATAGAGCTGTTTGAGCACAGTAATTTTGTGTTTGTGTCACATCATTTAAAAGTTTAGTCTAAGAGCAGAAGCTTGAGAGCTGCATTTTGATTTTAGCTTTGCCTTCAACTTAACCACCTTGTGCCAATTATCTACCCTCGCTGTGCCTCGAGGATAAACTGCCCAGGCACTGCCCTAGTGCTTTGATACTCCCTGTACCCTGAGGCTTAAATCATTGTTTGCAAAACACCACAAGCACTCAGCTGGAGGATGCTGTAAGAAGTGCAAGTTGTATTTGTTTTCATTTGATGTGTCTGGTCTTTCATAACACCATTTGTCTGCGTGTGACAGTGCTCAGAGCCAGGTTATGTGCTAACCAGGGCAAGTCAGCATTAAGGTCTTCACTAACTTCAGTAGCTTGATTTCTTTTAAATTAACTTTCCTTATGGATAATATTAGAATATTATGTGTATTTCATTGCCTTGAAGTTGAGATTTGAGAGGGTGTTGTGCTAAGCTTGTACCATGCATGTCAGCAAAGCATGTCAATAAAACATGTCATAAGTGCATCTGATATGTGAAGTACTTGTTGTGAGCTACAAAGAGCTACAGGGCTTGTTTGTTTTTTTAGGTTAAACTTGAAGATTCCTGTGTGTGTTTTGTCCCTCTCTACCGAAATAATCCTACTTGCAAACTGTTGCTGTTAACTGATCCAAAGGATAAAGAGACAGGTTAGAATTGGTCAAAATATTTTGAAATCTGAGTAGTTGTAATTTCTTTACCTTTAAGATGGACTGCTTGTTTATGTATTTAAATATTCTGGGTTCTGTTTTGAATATGAAGTGGTTTCAGTTTATCTGTCAAGGATTTGTGTCAGTGGGCTGCTGATTAGGTGGAAGAATTGACAATCAGGGCTTTTAAGTTCCATGCATAAATTCTCTGCTGGTAGCTGAAAAATCACCTTGGGTAAATCTGTTATTCTTTCTGACTTTATTCAACAGGATAATATTTTTCTAATTCAGAGTGATGTGAAATTTAAACACATTATGGTTTGGATAGAATCCTGAAATCCTTAAACAATAAAATACAGGTATGAAATTGTATTGCTTTTTACTGATTCTTACTCATATTCTTTTTGCTTTGTGATTTTTTTTTTCAGTTCTAGGTTTTCTTTCCCCCAGTACTGGTGTGTCAGGGCTGTCTACTGGTGTGTAGATTTAAGTGAGGAGTGTTGGTGTTGTTGTGAAGCAATGGGCTGCAGAGTTTTTGGCATATCTGCAACGAGGACATGAACTTTTGCATTGACTCACTGTGTCACTTAGGAAATACAGAACACATGAAACCTTTTAGACTTCCAGCTTCCAAATGTGGCAGCAAACTAACGACATCTGTCATTAAAAGTGTACTTTTTAAAAAAGGAAAAGCTATAAATTATGCCTGAAAGGCTTTAATAGCCAGTATTCTTAATAACACAGCAAAGGCAAAGCAAAATCCTCTGTTCAGTTCCAAGTGTGGCAGGTAATGATCTTGCACTCCTAGAACAGGTTCTGTTAGTGTAAGTGTTCATTGTTCAGTCCTACCCTGTAACTAGGAAATTTCTTCAGAAGAACAAAAAGCAGATTAAGATCACCTGTGGTTAGAGGTGAACTCTGCAGTTTTCCAGCTCCTTCTACACAGGATTTCAGTTGGACCTTTGCTAATGGGCTGTGGTTCACAGGAGAAGGTAGGAGACCTTTCCAAATTCCAGGTGTAATCAAAAGACTTTCTGGTCCCTCTAAAACTACTGATGTAGAATTACTCTTCTGACACTAATTTATATATTCCATTAGTGGTTTTTTGAAGAGAGATACACACTGGTATGAAAAAGGGGAGAAGTATCTACACCAGAGGCCAGACTGGCTCTCGGTGCAGTTGTACTCATCTCCTGACTCACGTTCGGAGGAACGTGGCTGAAAACAGCACTGAGGTAGTTTAGGCTTCACAAGAGGCATTGGGATCTGTAACTACAGTGCAGAAACAAAGAATTATTAAATAGATGCAGGTGAAAGTGCATTTAGCACAGCTCTTCAGTTAAATGATCTCATTTAGTATTAGGAACAAGAAGTATTAATGAGATACAAGCACACAAGGAAAAATGATTTCTCACAGGAACAAGTCAAACAAGTCCAATTGGAGCCTAAATTACATGATAGCTATCTTCATTAAAAGCTTAAACCAACCAGAATAAACACCTTATTATATTATAAACAACAGCCTGACTGACTGCTGTGACCCCTGCCTTGCAAAATTCCAGCTTAAGTTACCAGTCCAGAGCCAGAGGAACAGAGAGATCTCTAAGCCTGCTACATCACCTGGCTTTTGGTATTTCCTTCCAAAAGTGTGATTTAAAGGATTTTGTGGAAGTTCTTTGTTTCTGGATTTTATATACTATAAACATGTGGCCAGTCTTCCTGCACACATCAAATTTGACTGATGTGTTTGGTTTTTCCTTCAGATGAGTGTTAATAAATTTCCATTAGTTCTTTAAAGCCTGCTGGGATGTGTGTGCATACCTATACATGTGGGTACATACATTTGAAGTATTTTGTCCTAAATTTTTCCAGCAGCTCTGCAGATTTGGAATTGACTTTTAGGGTGGCAGACTGTGTTAATGGGGCAAGTCCATCTGGATTTGCTCACCTATATGACCTTTTGTTCTCACCAGTGAACAGATCAAATTAATTCAGAACTAATTCCTTTGGAGATGGGCAATATATTTTAACTTAGTCTTTGTTACTTTAAGGATATTTGACTTTAAGGGCAGAAAATTAAAACATTTAACAAGTTACATAATTTTCTTTTCCTGAGTTGAGCTTTACATTTTTCTTGTGAAATAAGTTTCATCCAGATGGAAGAGGGAAACAATCATGCTGTAGGTGATATCTTCTCTTCCTCCACCTGTCCACTGCCTCTACCTTTTAGTTTTCTTCCACAGCAGGAGCACTCTTAGAAGCAAATTTCCTGGTTGTCCTCAGATACTCTATTTTAGTTTGATGGTATTTAATTCTTGAAAATTGGTTTAAAGAGGGGTGGATTCCACCAGTGAGATTTATTTCTGATCGTCCTGATAAGATGGGCTGTCCAGAAGTTATGTGTAGCTTGTGGTTTGAAATGATCTGCATATTTCAAAGAGAAAATGGGTATGGCAGCTTTTCTGTAGGACTTGGTCTTGGTTGGAAGCATTTTAAATTTATTTTTGATGGGCTGAGTGTTGTGTTCTGTTAGTATATCTGTACAGATATTTTTATGAGAATGTAAATTGCATTGTAAGGGCTTACAGAGCATAACATGGGTGATTAACATCTTTATAACACTAAATAAACATACCTTATTGTGGCATTTTCTGTATGCTGCATGTAATAATTCACAATAACTGTGAGATGCCTTGGAACATTTATCACAAGACATTTGCAACAAATCACTGAGTGAAGCCTGAATAGTAGAAGAAAATGTAACTGGTTGCAGGAAAGATCTGTCTGAGATACTTGAATGGCTGCCATTCCAACAGGAATCTGCCTGCCTCCCAAACTTTTATATTTTTTGGATAAAATTCCTAGAAAAGAGTGAGAAATGCTCTTACTTCATTTTAAAGACAGGGAACTGTGGGACCCAGCTAGTTCAGGGTATGTCAGTGCTGCAGAATGCAGTTCAGAGTAGGATTTCTGACCTTGCTCCAGTATCAGAGTATTTCCACAGTGGAAGTCTTACAAAAGTGACCTCTTTAAGTGTGTCAGTAATCTGAAACAGTGACAGGATTAAGGTAAAGATGACTTTACAGAATGTGCCACTACTTTATCTTAGATATTTATTAAACAAACTCTAATTACATCTCTCAAATGTAACATCACCTTTATTTAGTTTGTAACTGAGGGATGTCTTTCAGCAGTTCAGATAAGTCAGGGGAAAAAGAAGAGCCAAGCTGGATGTTGCTTTATTTTTTCTTTGCTCTGTGTGTAGAATCCTGATGTGCACATTTCATTTAAATAGCTGCACACCAGTGTGGGAACATTTGGCCAGCATAGCCTAGGAAGTAAAAATATAATCCAGGCCTGAGTTGGGAAGGGATCCATGTTTGCCCAGCAAAAGTAGACATTTCATAATCACAATTGCATTATGCTTGGTGCCTAATTCAGTTCAGTCCTGGATTCCAAACACCCTGTGCTGTGGAATCCTGTGCTCCACTGCCTGTCAGCTTCTTGCAACACTCTGTGTTTGTCTGAGTGAAGGTGATGAAAGTACTGAGGTTTAGCAAGCTGGTGCTTACAGGGCAAGCCACCCACCTGAGCATGTGTAAACCCCATTAATTGTGACCTGAGATGCATTTTACCTGGTCTTGCAACTGCAGGATCAAGCACATCAGGTTTTGCAGTTGCAAGGTCACTGCAGTCACACACGTGGTGATTCACTGGGTTCAGGTGATGTGTGCTGGCAGTAACTCCATCTCCTGTGATCAGGTGAACTTCACTGAATGTTTTGGAAAGAATAACAAGGCTGGGAAGGAAGAGAAAGGGAACATGTGGTCTCACAAATCATGTTTGCATTTGAAGTAGTGTTCCTCAAAGTTGATTATAAAATGAAAACGAGAGTATGGGGAAGCATGGATGGATTTAACTGTGGACCAGATGTTGACTTGAAAAATGATAACAAAAAGCAAAGTACATATGTTTGTGTGAAATCTGGAGAAATGTTTTTCCTTCAAGGAAGGCATCCATATAGATAAGGTTGCTCAAGTAATGTGATGTGACAGTTGCTATGTCAACTAGTGTTCCCTTCCACACATTTAAATTATTGAATAGCACAGTAAATGTTCTATAAAAGCAACTCCTTCCAACATGGTTATGCATCTTCCTGTTTTCCTCAAAGCTTTTAGAAACTTTTCTGACCTTTACTATGTGTCTTGTATGTCTGAACTGTGTGCCAAACCTCTTTGCAGCTCTTATTAAAGTCAGCATTTGGCCCATTATGTCCCCTTTGTGTGACTCAGCTCCCTTTGTAGCTGCATGTTTCATGGATGTGTAATGGAGCAGTGGCTGCTGCATTTGAAAGCAGAGGGAAGGGTTTGAGGGAACAGATTGAATCCATCACAGAAAGAGTATGAAAATCCCATGCAAGTAAGTGCATAATATTTAATGAATTGAGTCTGCTGCTATAAACAGGCATCTGCCCTTGCGTGCAATACTTCTTCCTTGTTAACCCAGCACACAAAGTGTAATGCTTTTTGGCACATGCTTTAATAATTTATTGGAAATATAAGTTAGCTAAGCGGAATCTCCAGCCTTAAAACCAGCAGGAGTGATAGAGTCTGAAGCAAAAAGGGAAATTAACCTGTGTGCATCAGTGACAATCGTAAAACCTGAGGCTAGAACAGGTAAATGATGAATCCTGTCCTTAAAGTAATTTCATTTCCTCATGTGTGAATTTGTTTCTAACTCACAGATAGTTTTGAATTTCTCATATTTGTCCCTAGCTGGGTAGGTTAGAGCCAGTTGTTGGAACACTCTTTCAGGACTCAAGACATTTGAACTCTGTGCTGTTCTTTGCAACATTGTTCCTATATATTATATTCTATCTTTCTGTATAAAAATGGACATGGTAGGTGCCCATGTCCATTTTTATACAGAATATTGAAGATACTGGTGTTCTTGAGCAATCCTGAAATCGTGGCCATGTACTTTAGGTGAATGTCATCAGTGTACAGATATTAAAAGTTCTTTTGGCTGAAATATTTGCTGTTTGATGTGTTTGTGGTCATAAATGATCAGATTTCTGTGTTTATTCCAAAACCTCATCTAAACCCTTGAAATTTATTCTCTATCCTTTGAAATGACCCCATGTCAAAATTTTTCTTTCCGAACAAGGCTTGGAAGTAATTTCAGTGTCATTGTTGCTGCTTCAAGTCTTTTCCTTGTAAATCTATTGGCAGGCAATGAATTCTGTAGATGAACATGTAGGAGTAGGGTTTAAATACTTGTTCCTGCAAATGTGAAAAATTGAGGAAGGATGGGAAGAAGTGGGGTGCAAGTTTTGCATCACACCTACATGAGGACTTGACTTGCGTGGGTTGCTGATACACTTTGCCCTGAAGCAAAAGTGAATCTTATTTTGTGTGTTTATGTCTGTCTTTTGTTGATAGGAACCTCTCTGTGTGCATTTGAACCTCGGAGAATATCTATCCATGCAGAGATTTAGGGGTCTGTACTCTAAAGCTACCCATAGATGGAAATTCAATCACAGAGAGCTGAAAAGCTGTTTGATAAAGCAGATATGAGAATTTTCGTGTTTGACTTGCATGAGTGCAAATATGTGCACTCAAATATATGCAAATATGTATGTGTGGGCAGGGGAAAGTTTGAAAGAAACTTGAAAACTGTAACCTTTATCCAGGTAGCTCCACTGTCCCAAATGCCACTCAAACCTACTCTGCTACTGAACTTAGTATTAAGCAGGAAGTGCTTTATTCATATGGAACACAGGCTGTCACACCAAAGTCACATCAATTCCTGAGAAAAATTACCTTCACTTGATACCTCGTGCAGTACTGAAAATTGGATATCAAGGGACGTGGAGGTGAAATTGAAATACAATTGTTGTTCTTCTGTCTCACAGCAGAACAGACTGGAGTCAGCTGGAGGGAGCAGTAGATCTGAGGCTGCCTGTGGAAAAATTGAGAAGCTACTTTGTATTTCTGGGTAACTCGCTCCCCTGTTTTTGTTTCTGTAGTTTTGGCAGTTTATTTGAGCCAGCGCTGGTGGCCTGTGGAAGATGTTGTGAAGACAGCTGATCCTGCTAGAGATGGGCTCATTTTGGTGAGGATGCTATTTTGAACAGTTGCCTTTACCCTGGAGCTTCCCAGCCAGAGCAATTATATGGAATTGTCTTTGGTCTCCAACAGCTCCTGCTCTGAACCTGTGGGATCTGGGCTCTGTGGCTCACCAAGTGCTCCACATCTCCAGGACACAGTGACATGCACATTGGCCCTCTCTAAACAATTCTGTGCATGCAGCTTATGATTCATCTGCGGGGTTTATTTTCTTTTGGTTTTTAGTTTACCCTTGCTGCCTACTAAGGAATAATCATAAACTGAATTACTACATTAGCAATAATTTCTCACATTAACTGTCTGGTGGGAGGTGTTACTACCCTTTGGAACAATGTCTTATCTAGCTAGTTCTGGTTTTTTCCCTTGGATAATGTTTATGTTGTATTCATTTTATAAAATAGTTTCTGTTTAGTAATTTTTATATCCATAATTCTTTTTCCAAATAAATTATTTTGGTAAAATAGAACTACTTTTTGATAATTTGAAAGATTTGGGTAGCCTGGAGTCTGTTTGCAGCCAAAAAGTCAGATGCCTGCTGCATATGAGCTTTGTGTTGCCACGAGGTTATTAAGTCAGTTTTGTTTCCTACCCAGCTCTCAGTATCTTTGGTCCTTAATGATTCCATTCCTTTATCATCTTTTCCTGTCACACATAGAGTTTAATTATTTGCAGAATTAAGTAGGCTTTTTATGGCTAACTGAACTGGAGGGATTTTGAGATACCAATCCTTGCAAGATAGAACTTGGAGCAGGGACACGAGCCTTCAGGCTTTCAAGCATCTGTGTATCAACAGAGAATGAAAATAATGTCTGAAAATAGAAATCTTACCCCCTCTAGCTCATTGCTAAAAGGTAAATTGCCATTATATGTGGAAACTCTCATTTCTTTTTCAGCATTCGTGTGAAGCTTGTTGGCAGCAGTTTTTACCTTGATGATCAATATAATCTTGTTCCTTTATATTCCTTCATCTCCCTGTCCTGTCATTTGTCTCTCAAGAATTCAGCACAGAATGATTGTTCATGTTACACCTAGTTTATAGCTTGTTGGGACAGACCATTCTCTGTTTTGTATAGTGTCTATCTCAGTAAGGTCCTGGCCCACTAAATCTTTGATGCTGTGGCAACACAGGTAATAGGGGAGAGGTGACCAGGCCCACAGTGTGAATCCAATCTTCATTTCACTTTTGAGTAGGATTAGATTGCCTTGATCCTGGTTCCAAATCTGTGACTGCAATCAGGATACTTCTGCTGCTTTAGAATTCCTTTCTGTGACAACAAGAGATATGTCAAGCTTTATAAATAGTTACTAAATTACTCTGTGCCCGCTGGATAGAGGGTGAAATACTAGGAAAAACTGTTTTTGTTATTCTAGCTGAACCAGGAGGTATTTTCCCCAAATTAAGTGTACGTGTTTCCTGACCTCCTCCTTCCCAGCCTCTTTTGATTTTGAAACTTTTTATGAGATGCAAAATACTATTCTCTGCCTCATTTTTCTTTGGTCTGTTTTTGTTTGTTCTCTTAGGTCCAGACATTTGGAGAAAGGATTGTCCTCTTTGTTCTGAACTGCATTATTTTTGGAATGCTGGAAGGGAGTTCAGCTAATGATGCATTCTTTCTACCTCACTCTGCCACCGAGCGTGCCAAGATACTCTGGAGGAACGGCGAGGCTGCTGCCTTTTACTCGGTCAAGATGAAAGGTAAGGTCATTTTAGAGACACATTTCCACTGGTTCCTAATAGCTAGAAATGTAATCCTTTTGTTTATCTTTCAGTATAAATAATCCTGGCTCTCATTTACATTTTTATATGAAATCTCCCTCTGAATTAATCTGGGGAACAAACCTTCCCAGAATTTGGAAGCCATCCATGTTACTTTCATTTAAACATGATAGTTCCAAACCCTATTCTGATCTGAGGTACTGCCTTACTCCAATAAAATGTGCTTAATGCAGCCAAGTAGGAGGTTGTACATCTAGGAACAAAGAATGTAGGGACTATCCACAGGATGGAGAACTGCATCCTGGAAAGAATGATACCTGAAAAAGGCGGGCAGTTCCCGTGGATAAACATACTGGGAGTTGGTGGTGGCAAGAAGAGGAAGGATCCTTGGATGTGTGAGGAGCGGTGGCTGGGTTGTGTAGAGAAAGGTGTGTGCACTAGATCAGTCCTGGAATGCTTTGTGCAGTTGTGGTACTCCCAGTTTAAAGGAGGATGATTAATTGATTTCATAATTAATTGATTAAGTGGCATAAAAAAGAAACAAAGTGTGTTTTAATTCTTCAGGGATACCTGATTAACTTTAGTAAAGGTCTTATTAAACAGCATCTGTATTAATGCAAATAATTGCTGTTAACCAGCGTGGAGTGGAAGAGGCTTAATTGGAATAACTCCAGTTATGCAGTTGAGCCTGTGCCCCCATGTGGGAGCTGGTTACCAGCCTGTGCTCAAGATTCTTGGGAATCACCTGGATACCAGCAGCTTAAACACAGAGAAGATGTGATCTTTGGAAGTAAAATATTGCCCAAGTCAGGACTCAGTAGCCATCTATCCAAAATGGGAGAAAAAGAAACAGCTTGAGAGCTGGGTTGTTTTGGATTCCAGAGGACACTCTGAAGGTGCCTTCTCTGCTGCAATCCCAAAGGCCAGCAACAAGAGATGTTCTGCTCCTTGGGATGGAAAATCCTGATACACACAGAGGTGTAGCTTGTGCAGCACTGTGCTGGTGCTGCTGCACCATCAGTGAGGAATCAGGACTCAGCTTTTGATCAAGGAGCTTTGTCCGTATCTCTGATTATGCTGATGAACTGGTTTGTAATGCCAAACACAAGTGCATTTTCCTTTAAGTCCGTAAATATTCCTGAGCAAAGCTTTTGGAAAGAAACACTTGTAGGGGCTGTAATGATTCATGCTCCACTGAAATGAATGTGCACAGTAGTCTGTTATGGGTGGAGTATTAGCCAAGTTGAAACTGTTTCTGAGTAAGTTGAGAGTCACAGTTTGGTTTTAAACCAGGTCCACATAAAATACAAATCCTTCAAGTCCAGCTTTGTCAGCATCTGCCTTTTCTTGCCAGTGTTTTTTTTCCTCTGGGCAGCTATATTTGTTAGCTTTTGGCCTGTGTCACAAATTACTGCAGTCTTTTGCCAAAGCCTTTTCGGGAAGCTTGAAGCTGATTGTTTTTGCTGCTTTTTGCTATTTGATGTACGCGTTTAGAAAATAATTCCTCTTTCTGAAGTTCTGTGATTTCAATTTCATACCAGCCATGCTGTGGCTTAATCTATTCTCTCTACTGTTTGGAAGAGCCCTGGATTTATTAGGCCCAAACAGACTAAGATAAATATCTTCACTCAGAAGCTGTATTTCACAAGGTTGTTTTACATATTTTCATAATTTATTTTTTTAAATCATAATGTAAGTTCTTTTTCCTTTTGCTGTCCTGGTCAGATTACTTAGTAGAGACAGCTTTAACTACAGGACTTTATATTGTTATAGCTTCTGTTATAGCTTCTGCTCTTAGGAAAAAATTATTTTCCTTTGTGCCCAACATGTGATTTTGATTCACTTTATTTCCATGCTCTGCAATTACCTGACCATTCTTTCCAGTTTGATTTTCTTCACTGGATAATTGAGATTCCCATATTGATGTTGTATTCAACTGTATTTCTCATCTGTGAATTTTTCATTATCTACAGCATGACAAAAAACATGCTTCAGTGGAGGCAAATAAGCCAGAAAAGGTCTGTGGAGCATGGCTCTTTCAAACATAATTCTTCTGGGTGAATCACAGAAGTGGTGACCAAGGAACAGTGAGTCTGTTCTATCTTTGCTACAGATTTAATGTGTCGTTATGCAAACTAAATTTTCAATGGACTTCAATGATTCCAATTAACTATCTTGGCAATACTGTAATGTCATTTCCATTTGCCAGTTCCTAGGTGGCCTGTACAAAGTGAACTTGGTAATTTTGGTTCAGTTCCATGCTTCCATCCATCTTATGACCATCCTTAACTGGATGTCTTTAATAGTCCAGCTAAAGAGGCACAGATGGTCTCGAGCACCCGCCTTGCTCAGAGATGCAGTAACTACTGCAAGTCAAGGTTTTGAGACAATTTGGCCACTTCTGGCACTGGCCACCCTGCACCTGTTGTGTAGATAAACAGAAATGTCATTCTTCAAGGCTATCACTTTCCGTGAGCATTAGACACCTTTATTAAAGCAAAATTTATTCATGACTGCACAGATCATCAACCTGGCCTCTCTGGAATGTGCCTATTCCTGTCCAATGACAGGCATGCAGCATTTACCACTGGGTATACTAAAGATTGATGAGATGTACTAAGCCACTAATGAGGCTGATAAGACACTTTGTCACGTGCCAAGATAAATGTCTCCAATTTTATCTATGTCAGCGGCTTCCATATCAGACAGCTGAGCAGTTAGACCTCACTAAATGGAGCTACTTAAAGGTACAATAGGAAATGGCAGTTCCCTCTTCCTGTACCTTTCTCTGCAGGTAGCAGCCTGAAAACGAAATATTTTGCAGAAAGCCTTCATATAGATACTTGGGGTTTGGGATCTGTTTTATGTTGTTTAAAGTATTTATTTTATGCTCTGTGTGAAAACCTCAGAAATAATGTGTTCTGTGTAGTGATGTAGGATTAATTACCACGGTTACTGACACTTGTTTCTTGTGCAGTGAGACCGTGTAATTCCCTGAAAGTTTTTCTTTTCTTATTTACTGAGGTCTAGTAATTACTGAAAATGGACTTTGCCACCTTCACATAAATGCCAGGAGAATGTAGAAGATTCATGATGCAAATAAATCAATAGGGAAGTTGGAGGATGCAATGAGCCAGGAGTGTCTTAGTGCTTTTAAGAACAAACCAGAACAAAATCCCTTTTTTATAGACCTTTTTTTCCCCCTACTGTTATGTATTACTGTCTCTGTAACGCACATGAGCTGCCCAGCTGCAGGCTGAGCTGTCTGTGGTATGAAAAACAAAACAGTCAGATTGTCAAAGCTTGTCCCTTCCCTCCTGACAAATCTTAGTAGTAAAAGTCTGGAGTAATGTGAATCAAACCAGCCTTAACCAAACTGAGTCCTTTGAGAAGACTGTAGAGCATACAAGTGTATCAGGAGTAAGGGCATTGTTGGCTTCTCATTCATTCTTTAGAAATTCTTCACAAGTCACAGTCTGGGAACACCTGACTGCAAAAACTCTTAAGCAGACATGGAGTAGGCAAAAAAGTAACCCTGGCTCCATCTCTGCTTTATTCCTATACCACAGCCTTAGAGATAGTCCTTGGAAGTGGCTTCCTGAGCTCAAATTCATTTCACACCTTTCTTCATACCTTTGATATTGGTGGCCCAGGTGCTATTCTGTAGAAAGAGATCCTTAAACAGGTAACAGGATTTTATTTTTTCATTGATTACATACATTTCTTTTAGAAAAAAAATGGCATTGAAGTTGACCTGACAGACAATTAGCTGAAATCTTGTTGAATAATTGCTTTTGTCTCCCTCTGTTTGCTAGCAATAATATTTTTAATGTGCATTTCTGAGGCGGATTGAAGATTCTGGCTGTAATGAAAATGAAATGACTACATACCAGTCCAGACATGAATTCATTTAATTTTATTGAAGCCAGAACCTTTGTTCGCCTTCTCACATACAAACTCACACAATGGGTTGACCTTGGGTTCTGCTCTGCAGAAATATTCCCCACCCTTTACACAAGTGCTCAGGCCTGTCCAAACATGTGTGTGCCAAGCCAAGTTGTTCAGCAGGGAAATAGTCAGTGTGCACAACCTTGTTTTGTTTGGGTCTGTTGGATGTGGGGACCGGATTGTTGTTTTTTTTTTTGCTGGTTTGTGGCTCTTTGGGAATGCTAATGGCTGTCTGCTTTCCTGCCCTTGTAATATCTGTTTGCCATTTTGCTGGCTCCTAAGTTGGTCATTTGGCACTCGTGACCTAACCAAGCAGATCAAAGGCTTTCAAAGGGCAGGCTGCATGAATGCTTCCCTCTCCATCACCAATGCCCTTATTTTCCCAGTCTCCTCCCTCACCTCAAAACTTTGTCTGTGGGTTCCAAACAAACCTTTCAACCAAATGTGTGAGAGCCCAGTGGCCACCTCCGGGCCACCATTAGCTTATGGTAACCTTGTACTATTTGATGGTAAACAGGGACAAAGTGGTCTTTGTTCCCAAAGGTTGGTTTGTTTGTTTATTTTATTTCAAATGCCTGTGGGCTGTGACTCTCCTAATGTGTTTCCCAGGGACAAGGTGAAGAATGGCTTCATGGTTTCTTTATTTATAGTGCCTTTAGACATGACAAGTTTTTGTCATCTTCTCAACACAAAATTAGGAGCTCAGACATAAATCACTCAGCTCCTGGGATTGCTGCACAGCACTCTCATCAGAATTTATAGGAGACAGACTATATGAGATAATAATAAACTTAAAAGAACACTTGCAACATGCAGGAATTCTTAAAGACTTCATGAGAAAAATTTTGTCCCTTAGAACGTATGGTGCAATTCTGCTGGAATTTGACATCTCTGTTGGCTTGGCAGCTAACAATGGGACTGGGGATATACTCAGTTTTTTGGCTTATGACAAAAAGAGTAACTACCCATCATGTGTTACAAATATTGAAAGGTTATAAACACCACCACAACCCACCCTCTTCCAACAATGTGCTGGAACATGTGTTTGAAGTTAAGCATGCGCTTTGATTGAGCAGGAGTGAGCCAAGCTTAATCAAGATGTGAATGGATGGTTATGGAGCTGCATACTCTTGTTGTATGGCTCAGTCTGTGAGACGTGGGTTCTTGCTAAATTATGAGCTTGACAAATCAGGGTCTAGAATTAAAAATAGTCACGTATGCTGTGCTGGATTGGCATCCTAGAAAAGAGAGTCATAAAAGTCAGGCCTGTCCAGTATCGGTGAAAGGTGTTGGACACCAAGTGAGGAAGCAGAAATAGATGCCAGTTTAAGACAGCTGTAGGAATGTGGAAAAAAAATGGACCTGTTAAGTAGAAGTCTTTTATTGGAATTTAGGAACAGGCATTCAACAGGACATAAAACTGTGAAATAGGTCTTAGTGAAGTGATGAAAGCTTCATGTCTCAGAACACTGAAAACTAGACTGAGTCAGGTCCACTAGGAAGTAGTGAGAAGGATAAACCAAGAAGGTCTTGATGAGACTTAAGCAACAAAGTATGAAAATGTAGCCATTTTCTGTTATAAAGGTCTGGATATCCATTTGTATTTAACCTGCTGTGTGTTCAAAAGCAGCATAAAATCTTCAAAAATATTTTCTAGGAATTAAAATAAATCCGTGAGGTTTTTCTATGGGGACCTTCTCCTATGTGTAGGTGCTTGGGGAACTGATGTTGATAATTAATTTCAGAACTGAGTGCTTATGCTGTAAAGTAGTTTGAAGTTCTATTTTTAGGGTATTCTGCATGCAGCAATAGGACCCTAGGTTGGTTGGGGTGAACACCAAAATTTTGGATGCTGAACGTCTGTTCTTAATCAATTCTTTCTTGACTCCAGTTTGACTTTGCAACTTGTAATTGCAAAATAAATCCCTTGATTCTGTTTTTGGGGGTTATTTTGGACAATTTTTACTGAGAACTAATTTTAATAGTTTGGAGGCTTATGCTTGAGTCTGTATTTTGTCCACATGTGGAGCATTATGTCATGACCCTGTGATTTCAGTTAACTGACTTAATGTGTTTGCTAGCAGGGACTGTCCTTGAGTGAAAGCCCTGGTTCAGCACTGATAGTGGTAGTTCAAGTGATGGAATAGAAGCACCTACATGTGTGATAAATTATCACTCAGTAGAAATGGAGTGACTTACAAACGAGGTCTTGCAGTGCTTTCCTAAAATGCACCACTGAGTTGTTTTTTTAAAGGAGTATACTGACATTACATTCAGAACAGTTACATCTCTTTGGTTTTAGGCCATTTAAATCTTTGCAGTGGGCTTTCCTATATACATTGCCTGTGTACCAAGATAGTGTGATGAAGAATCAGAGTCTGGAAAAGACTCTGGTGAGACCTGTCAGCCACGTTAGGCAGGTCCTCTCCATTTCATGGAAAAATCATCCTCCTGGAAAGTGTTTTGCTCTCTGTGCAAATACACTTCAGCTGGGATCATCCTCACAGCCTGTGGAAAGGTACCAGGGCGGTGTGTGTGGCTGAAATCACATAGCAGTTAGTGCAGCAATACCAATTTTGTTTGCAAATGGATGTGTTTTTCCCTGTCTGTTTTCAGGGAGCCTGTGTGATGGTACAACCAGTCAGTGTTACCTGCTGCCAGTTTTGGATACTATATTTGTCCAGAGAAAGTACAGAAGAGGTGGCCTAGGGACGAAAATGTTGCATGATTTCTGTCAGTCTTTCCTGGCTGAGGATGCCTTGGGGATCAGCTGCCCTATTTCTGCTGCCATGTATCAAGGTAAATCCTTTGATGTGGACACGTTAGGTAAGGGTCATGTATAATGTATAATTTTCAATATGGTCTTGGCAAGATTGTCCTCACTGTGTAAGAGTTCAGTGCCCTTGTCTGAACCAAACCGTTGTTTGCCTGCAACTGGTTCCTCTTCTGGAGCCATCTGGAATTTCCTGTGGAAAGGTAGGCCAATATTTATGTAAGACAACAAGAAGCACAAAAATCATGGTGCCTGTTTGATGGTGTGTGTTCCTAGAACTGCTCCCTCTCAGAACTATGTCATTGCTCTAGACAGGGACTTAACAGATTTTATTTGACACCACAGGGAAAAGACTCCTGAGATCTTGTCAAGCCCACATTGTGCACATAATACTCTGGTAGATCTTGCATTTTTATGAAATTACATTTAATAAGCCAAATACCCAGGCTCTACTCAGTCATCAGTTACATCAGTACTTGTTTTGTATCAACTGTCTTTGAACATTTGTCACTTTTAAAAGATCACAAAGTAGTCATATATCTTCTGTGTCTTCAGGTCAAAACTCTGGTTTTGCTAGTAAAATTCACAGAAAAAAAATCTGTGCTCACGTTATTAATAAAACTGTCTTCTTTAGAAAAGTACTTTTTTCTGAGGTTGCTCTCTGTGTGGTGCAGTCTTCACCATAATTTCTGGGGAGATGTTTTGATTGACTTACAGCTTTCCAGTTATTTCCTAATAAGTGTCAAGAAAATTTTGGCCCCATCTGTTTCTTTTTCTTGGTTATTATGTGCCCTTGAATGTATTCAAAAGCACCTGAGCAGGTACTGCTGCTTCTGATTTCAGGAGGGAATAGCATTGACAGCATTCCTTCTCTTCTCCCAATAATATCCATTTTTCCTTTGCCAGACCTCAGGGCTTTAGAAAGCCTGGAGGAGAAAGCTGCATTTCTTATGTGTTAACACTAGCAATATATTGGAAGACTGTGCTTTTGTCTCAATTAAATTTAGAGCTAATAGTGAATAGATTTGACTTGCATCATGTTTTAATTAGGTTTACTTTTATAAAAATACCAATACTGTTAGTTAAATTTTGAGTGTATTGAAGCCACTTTCTGTTTTTAATTTCAATGGAACCACATTTTCATGCTTTGACAAATGAATGCAACCTTTAAATCTCTGTACTGAAATCTCTGAAGCTGTGGACAGTTTATTTAACGTGGACATGGTGTTTAAGCTGCTGTAGAGGCCTAGAAGGAAGCAAAAAGCTGTGTGGCAGATACCTGGATTCTAGTATATATGTTAGTTTTAGTAGTTTTTATTGCAATGATTAATTTAGTCTGGATGTCCTTGGATAAAATTAATGTCTACGATCTGCTCATTAGTGTAAGGCAAATGTTTACATACCAGAATTAGGGTTTTTGTTTCAACATCCCATTGTTAAACTCAACTGAATGTTGAAGATAAATTGCCCATTCAGTAGTGTGGTGAACTACAGTGGACAGAGAATGGCAGTAATTTCGTTGTTTACAGATCACTATCTTAGTGCAGTTGATGCAACTGATAAGATGGCAGTTAAGGGAAGTTGAAAAATGCCCTTTAAATGATTTAAACTGTTTGTTCTACAGCATGTGCCTCCTCTTGACACTGCACACATCTTAAGGGTACCACTAAGTAGAACATACTTCAGTTTCATAACATAAGCAGACCTAAATTTTTGGATGGTCAGTGTGTGCTGACAGTGGTAGGAATCTGTGGTGATATGGTTTATAAAGGTGATTGCACATCTGTCACATGTATGCTGTAATTTTTCTGTTGGTTCTTCCCATTTCTTCTTTTCCACATCCAAAGAAATAAATGAACCTAACAATGGGGTGTAGGGTAGCAGTAGTGAAAAGAAGGGTGGTTTTGGCCCAAAAACCAAACTGAAGGAGAGCTTTTCTTTATAAACAGAAATTGAAGTAGCATTCTGAATGGCTAAAGCTGGAAGATAGAGGAGCACCTTTCCTTTCAGAGTAGTGAGGGTAAAAAACCCCACACTGCTGTGAAACCCACTGAGTGTCTGGACATTGTTCTGTGCTGCAGTGTCAGTAGAAGGTGCTCAGCAAATCGTTTCAAGACCTTTATTTCTGCACTCACAAGGAAATAATCTAGACTGAAGCAGATGGCAGGATTCACTCATGACTGTTTAGGCCATTTCACATAGACTTTTAGTAAAAGTCCCAGCCAAAACAAAGAGGAGGAAGATGAGAAGGGAGAAGAAAGATTTCTAAAGGAACTAATGAAAGTAGGTCTGAGAGAATTTCTGGGATAGAACATGTTCCCTCTTCCAACACACTTTTCATTCATTCATACTTTTACCCCTTGGTTCCTCCTTTCAGTATGCCAGAAATTCCTGCAGGCTCATCCTGAGGAGCAGAAGCGACTGTGGGAAGTGGAAGCACCAGGAGATTGGAGCCAGCGACTGAATATCTGGTTAAAAATTCAGATGGAGTCATCCCCTTCAGGAAGTGAGTTAAAACAGGCAGTGTGAACTTGTCTGTGTTACAGCTCTATAAAGATAAATGTAACCAAGGGTTAGGTAGTGATCATGGAGGGGTGATGCTTCTGTTGTTTGCACACAGAGGAACTACTGAGTGTGCAGTCCGGTTTCCTCATCTTTTCACAGTAAACAGGACAATTCTTAGAAATTATGAGGTAATTAAATGGAACCACAGAGCATCTGAGAGATCCTGAACAAAGCACAGCCTTGGCATAAAGTGGCTGGAACTCCTGTTGCAGTGCACTTAGAGCAGGGTAGAAGTTAGCCCAAAAAATCCCTGTTGCACAACACATTGTCTGGGTTATAGACAGGGGTTTGTTTCTCTGAAATTGTTATAAAGAAAAAATTTGTATGGCCAGTGGGCAGTGTGTTTAATTACCTTCAATTGCTGCCAATACCATTCTTGGATGGAAACACAAAGGTTTTCATTATGGGTTTTGGAAGATTCCAAGTACTCTCCTACGGGGTAAATCCTTTTTGCTGAGAGCATTTTCTGCCTGCTTCACAAAAGATAGTGACAGAATGGGGAAACCTTTTGACAGTTCATATGGGGACCTTGTTGATGTAATCTGTTCAGGTGGTTGGAGGACCCAGGCAGGCCCCTCTGCTGCGTGCACACAAGCTGTGATAAGCACTGAGTTCCAAAAAAAGGGCACACATTGTCTCTTTCTGGAAGTGAAGCAAATTTCTCCCATGCCTTCCCACATTCATCCTGCTCTGTTTTGGCTCAGGAACCTTCTGTTGAGACACCACGTTTCATCTTGTCTGCAGCACCCACAGGAGAGTTAAGTCAGACTTTAGCCCTAGGCTGGGTTCCTCTGAAGCCATTATATCTGTGTTCCTCGTGCTTTAAACCAGCAAAACCTTTAATCTTGCTAAGTGAAGTTTATTAATGGCAACTGAACAGAACTATGATCAGATCAAAACTCAGCAGATCCTGGGGGAGAGGATGCTTTCTTTTTTCTTTCTTCTTTTTGCCATCTTCTAGAAAAACAAATAGATGAATGACCCAAGGAGTGGGGAAATATCATTCCACTAGAATTGCTGTTAGCAAAAAATACACATGAGGCTGGGGAACTGCCCTGACTGCAGCTTTCCACCACCTAAAGCGGGACAGTAAGAAAGATGGGGATAAAGATTTTAGCCAAACCTGTCACAACAGGAAAAGGGATAATGATTTTAAACTAAAAGAGGATAGATTTAGGCTAGATATAAGGAAATAAATTTTTACTATGAGGGTGTTGAGGCCCTGGTACAGGCTGCCCAGAGAAGCTGTGGCAGCCCCATCCCTGGTCCAAGGTAAGGTCAGGTTGGATGGGGCTCGGAGAACCCGGTCGTGTAGAAGATGTCCCTGCTTGTTGGAGGGGATTGAATTAGATGACCTTTAAAAGTCTCTTCCAATCCAAACTATTCCATGATTCCATGATTCTATCTTTAGGGAGAGGTCTCTTGGGAACAAGGTCTTCATTCCTACTTTCTCTGGTATGCAGAAAGCAAAACACAATGTAATTCAATATTGTCAGCTCCAATCAGGATCTATGGCAACAACTGTGAAAATAGACAAGTCTTATTCTGCTCTGATTTCTTAGATTCCTGTTGACATTTGCAATGCTGTGCAGTGCTGTGTTTTGGAACAAAATTACTGAGAAGAAAAATTGAATATTTTGCTCATATTATGGATTTTTTCCCCACAACAGTACTCAGGATTGAATACCATTAATGTTCTTATAAGAATTCTACAGTCATACATATTCCAAAACAGGTTTCTGTAATCCTGAGGTCAGAATATTCAATTTTGCAAAGTGGTGTGGCTGCATCTAGTGGCAGTTCATATAAACTGCAGCCCTCTGTTTGCTGCACTTCAATGTGGATGTGCACAGATACATAGGCATGTATACACACACATTTCTGTCTGTACATATATCTATAAAAATCAAGCTTTTTACCATGTTGTCACACATAGCTGCAGTCATTCATTCTGAATTAATTCTTATTGTTTGAAAAATGTAGGAGATTTAGTTTCATCAAATAGTCTCAGCAACAGGAACATGGTGACATTTCTCTTCTGGGGCTGATTGGAGGAACTGAAATCATTTCACATGGTTTGCTCGTGGTTACTAAATCTACCAGGCAGTGAACAGAGCTGTTTGGAAGTAGTTTAGTAATATACATAAAGCATGTAAATGTGAAGCTAATGCAAAACCAAGCAGGCTGAGAAGAATTAAAATAAATTTCAAGTGATTGCATATAATTCCTTATCAGAATTGGTGAGAGTAACCTGTATTTTCTAAAGAGGATAAAGTAATATGAGTTTTCCAGGTGTGAGAGGTGAACAGATTATCTGTTTAGCAGCACTTTCAAGATCCACAGACATTTTGTTTCTAGTATAGTTGTTCACCTTAGGTTTTTGTGGTGGTGTCATGGGGCACTCTGGTTTGGTTAATTAACAAAAACAAGGCAAGAGGGATTGTAGGTAAGAGTCAGTTGGCTTTTTCTGGTGTTTTTTTAAAATGCAAATTGCCGTGGAAGTATGATAATGTTTTTTCCTTTAAAATCTCTTTCTGGGGCAAAATATTCCCCCAATTTCTCCAGAAACTGAAGTGGGCTCTTGTATGGAGAAGACTCCAACTACTAAACCCAGACAATCGGACCAGATGAATAAGGTACAGTAACTAATAATGCCATCTTATGACCTTGTTTTCTATTGGTGGCATTTTCCCTTTCCAGTGGAGAGTTCAAATATGAGAGATTTTCACAGGTACGTTGTACTACAGACTCATGTACCTATGTGAGTGGTTGTTGGAAAAAAATCAGCTGAGACTCCATTTTATTCATGCAGAAAGCCTATTCTTTATTCACAAAGCTCATAGGAAATATCAGAAGGCACTGTGTTAAACCTGAGTGGTCAGCAATGCAGTGAAACTCAGTTCATTGGATGGTAAGGGCTATTGTATATGTCTATCAAATTTTCTCTCTCTAGAAATGTTTACATTTTTCCTTTGTGGGCTCTCATGGGACAAATCTTATTGTTTACACAGGTGCATTTGTTTTTCACCCTCAGAGTATGTTGTTGTGTTTAACGAACTTCTCATTCTCAACATAGCTTCACACAGGAGCTTGCAAATTGCTTGTTAGCTGCACTTAGAAGAAAAGACAGGCCAACTTTGGCAGTTTTAGCAGAGGAAGGCCTGATTTCATAGGGCCTTTCTTTTATAATTCTTCTACCTGCCTATGACATCTCTTTTCATTAATTTTAAAAAGGCTCATATGTTCTGATGTTAAAACAGCTTGCTCTTGTGAGGGTATTATCTCATTAAGCTTATCACTGGTTATCTCTTAGATATGGGATAAGATACATAAAAGACTGATAACAATCAACAAAACTTATCAAATTCTGTCATGTCATTGACACAGGGTTTCATAGCATGAGAAAACAAAAGAATAATGTCCAATGTCTCTTAGGGAAATAGAAATGTCATTGTTTCATCACAGCTGTTTTAGTCTGAGGGTTTTTGTCTCTTAAAAGAAAGCAACTATATATCTTACAACATAGAAAATACTTAACTGTCTTAGGTTGCAATGCAAGATGTAACCACGTCTATTCTATCTGTTAAAACCAGGTGGGGCAGTGTTCTTTATCTTTTCCATGACCCATCCTCCCTCCAGGAGATATCTTCTGATAATGGCCCATTTAGCCTCCCTGCATGACTGATAAGATGACATCATCCCATTGGGAGATTCTCTGCCCAGGGGGAGGAGCCAAGCATTCCTACCTGGATATAATTTGAGCCCTGGAACACACAGGCAGCCTTTTTCCACAGGATTCCCAGAGGAATACTGGACACTTCTATGCCACCCCTGGACCTTCAGAGAGAAACTGCACCTTTCTACAGGATCACTGCTACAGCAGAACCACAGCTGTCACTGCAGGAGGGCTGCAGCCACCATTTATTCGGACTGCTACCAACACCCTGACCCACAGGGTGTCAGGTTGTATTCTGATTTTGTCTGCTTGAGCAGTAATTTTTTTTTTTTTTTGTGAGCTAATTATTTCCAGGCTTTAAATTCAAGGTTATAGGATCTAGATAAGAACTTAAAATTAATTGCTGCAAATAATCTTGGGGGAAGAGGAGAGTCACAGGCCGGGGCAGCAAGATGGCATCTATGGAAGCTGGGAAGCAGCACATCTCCAGAGTGGCAAAGGTGAAAAACAAGGCACCTGCTGAAGTTCAGGTCACTGCGGAGCAGCTTCTGAGAGAGGCAAAGGAGAGGGAACTTGAGCTTCTCCCACCGCCTCCACAGCAGAAGATCACAGATGCTGAAGAGCTAAATGACTATAAACTCCGGAAGAGGAAGACTTTTGAAGATAACATAAGAAAGAACAGGACTGTTATCAGTAACTGGATAAAGTACGCACAATGGGAGGAAAGCCTGAAGGAAATCCAGAGAGCCCGTTCCATTTATGAGCGTGCCCTGGATGTGGACTACAGGAATGTTACCCTCTGGCTGAAATATGCTGAGATGGAGATGAAGAACTGCCAGGTCAACCACGCCAGGAACATCTGGGACCGGGCCATCACCATCCTGCCCAGGGTGAACCAGTTCTGGTACAAGTACTCATACATGGAGGAGATGCTGGGGAATGTGGCTGGGTCGCGCCAGCTGTTTGAAAGGTGGATGGAGTGGCAGCCAGAGGAGCAAGCCTGGCATTCCTACATCAACTTTGAGCTCAGATACAAGGAGGTGGACAGAGCACGAAGCATTTACGAGAGATTTGTCCTCGTTCACCCTGATGTGAAGAACTGGATCAAGTATGCACACTTTGAGGAGAAGCACAGCTGCTTAGCCCACGCCAGGAAGGTGTATGAGAGGGCAGTGGATTTCTTTGGGGAGGAGAACATGGATGAGCACTTGTACGTGGCATTTGCCAAGTTTGAGGAGAACCAGAAAGAATTTGAAAGAGTGAGGGTTATCTACAAGTATGCCTTGGATAGAATTCCAAAGCAGGATGCCCAGAACCTCTTCAAGAATTACACCATCTTTGAGAAGAAGTTTGGAGACAGGAGGGGAATTGAGGACATCATTGTCAGCAAGAGGAGATTCCAGTATGAGGAGGAGGTGAAGGCAAACCCCCACAACTACGATGCGTGGTTCGACTACCTGCGACTGGTGGAGAACGACCTGGACCCTGAGACAGTGCGGGAGGTGTATGAGAGAGCCATTGCCAACGTGCCCCCCATCCAGGAGAAACGCCACTGGAAGAGGTACATCTACCTCTGGATTAACTATGCACTCTATGAGGAGCTGGAGGCAAAGGATGCAGAGCGAACCAGACGGGTGTACCAGGCATGCCTTGAGCTCCTGCCCCACAAGAAGTTTACATTTGCCAAAATGTGGCTGCTGTATGCACAGTTTGAAATTCGCCACAAAAACCTCCCCCTCGCCAGAAGGGTTTTGGGGACATCCATAGGTAAATGTCCAAAAAACAAGCTGTTTAAAGGTTACATCGAGCTGGAGTTACAGCTGCGTGAATTTGACCGTTGCCGAAAATTGTATGAAAAATTCCTGGAGTTTGCACCAGAAAACTGCACGTCCTGGATTAAATTTGCTGAGCTGGAAACCATCCTTGGCGATATCGACCGTGCCCGGGCCATCTACGAGCTGGCTATCAACCAGCCCCAGCTGGACATGCCAGAGGTGCTTTGGAAATCCTACATTGACTTTGAGATGGAGCAGGAGGAGTGCGAGAGAGCCAGGAGCCTTTACCGGCGGCTGCTGCAGCGCACGCAGCACGTCAGGGTGTGGCTCAGCCTGGCGCGCTTCGAGCTGTCGGCGCGGCACGAGGAGCGGCTGCAGCGCTGCCGCCACGTCTACCAGGAGGCCAACAAGGCCATGCGCAGCTGCGAGGAGAAGGAGGAGAGGGTCATGCTGCTGGAGTCCTGGAGGAGCTTCGAGGATGAGTTTGGCACTGATGCCACTAAGGAGAAGATAGATAAACTGATGCCTGAGAAAATAAAGAAGAGGAGAAAGCTGCAGGCTGGAGATGGGTCTGATGCTGGATGGGAGGAGTACTATGATTATATTTTCCCAGAAGACACTGCCAGTCAGCCCAACCTCAAACTCCTGGCTATGGCAAAGCTCTGGAAGAAGCAGCAGCAGGAGGGCAAAGCTGCAGACATGGATCCTGACAAGGACATTGATGGAAGCCAGACTTAATACCTTGCCTTTTCCCACCCCTTTCCTGGGCCATTGTACGGTATTTTCATTGGTGATAAATAAATGCATTTGGAGAGTTTTAGTAAAAAAAAAAAAAAACCAAACAAAAAAATCACAAAAAACCCAAAACAAAAAACCCAAAACAAAAACAAACAACCCCCCCCCACCAAAACCCCAAAACAAACAAAAAACCCCAAAAACCCTCAGACTTGCAGCAGCCAGGCCGTGCTGGGGCTTGAGTCCTGCATTTTGGCCACAATAACTCCCTGGGATGCTATAGGCTGGGGATGGTGTGGCTGGACAGTGCCCAGGCGGAGAGGGACCTGGGGTACTGGTCAGCAGCCGGCTGGACACGAGCCAGCAGTGTGCCTTGGTGGCCAAGAAGGCCAGTGGCTCCTGGCCTGGATCAGGAATGGTGTGGCCAGCAGAACCAGGGAGGTCATTCTTCCCCTGTGCTTGGCACTGGTGAGGGCACACCTCGAGTGCTGTGCCCAGCTCTGGGCCCTCAGTTTGGGAAGGACGTTGAGGTGCTGGAGTGTGTCCAGAGGAGGCAACGAGGCTGGTGAGGGGCTTGGAGCACAAACCCTGTGAGGAAGGGCTGAGGGAGCTGGGGGTGTTTAGCCTGGAAAAAAAAGGAAACTCAGAGGTGACCTTTTCGCTCTCTACAACCGCTGAAAGGTGGTTTTAGTCAGGTGGGGTTGGTCTCTTTCTCCAAGCAGCTACTGACAGAACCAGAGGACACAGTCTCAAGCTGCACCAAGGGAACTTTAGGTTGGATAATTGGAAAATGTTTTTCACAGAAAGAGTGATAAAGTTCTGGAATGGCCTGTCTGGGGAGGTGGTGGAATCACCATCCCTGGATGTGTTTAAAAAAAGACTGGACATGGTAGTTAGTGCCATGGTCTAGTTGAGGTGTTGGGGCATGGGTTGGACTTGATGGTCTTGAAGGTCTCTTCCAACCTAGTGAGTCTGTGAATTCTGTGTTTGCATATGGAGTAACTTTCTGAACTCCACTTGCACTCTTTTCTGTGCAGGAGCTTGAGCGTGACTTCAGAATGAATAAGCCTAACTCTTCATTGTCCTAATTACTTTATCTCACTGCTGAGCTGCAGATCTGGCCATGTTTAGCTTTTTATAGCACCTAGGCCTAAAACAGGCAGTGAGGTTTAAATGAAGCCTAAGCCATATATCTGAGAAAACAAATCACAGGAATGAAGCTTTTTCAAGTAATAAAGAAAAAGGCGAGATGAGTGGAAGCAAAACAGAGAGCTGCAGGGGTTGTTTCCCCAGCACGTTTTGGTTGCCACACAATTAAATCAGTTTGTTTCCTTCAGCCCTGAGTGTCCCAGGGGAGCTGTGATGGCTCCAGCCCCTGTGGTGCACACTCTTTTTGTGTGCTGTGGCCACGGCTTCAGAGCCCACCCAGCCAGATCAAGGCTCCCTGTGCTCCCAGTTTTCCTTATGCTGACACTTTGGGAAGGCAGGCAGAGCAGCAGGAATGAAGCTGTTCTATAAAAAAAATGCTGCTGAGTTTCTTGCTTTCATGTTTATAGCAGCCATGGCTGACAGAAGTGTTTGATATTAGGATCAAGTCACTGTTTATTTTGTTTGTGTATAATTTGCTGTTCATTCTGTCTTGGCTCTAATTTCAGGGTGTTGACTGCTTTCCTGGAGTTGGGCAAGTGGCAGGAGATGCCATGGAGGAGAAAGATGACACAACAGCAGCAGGGACTCCAGCCTCACAAGGTCCTGAAGAGGAGAACTTGGAACAAAGTGCAGGTGATGCTCAGCAACATAAAGGACTCAGGAAAAGAGAAGGTCCTGGGGACTTAGATGGAGACAAGGCCACCAAACAATTTAAAACTACACCCTAATTGCAATTTCAGAAATCAGCAAAATTCAGTATGATCTTAAAAGTTATAATTGACTGTTCATAATTTGTAACAGTGGAGAAATTTTTCCAGGTATGATGAAATTTTTATGCACTACACATTCTTTATTTTATGTTTTGTTTTAAATAAAGCTTTTGTTTACTAAGTATGGTTTTCTTTTTCTTCTCACCAAGTAATTAAGTAGTAGTTGAGCCTAGTTATTTCCCTGCTCTGAAAAGATTTTATTGGATTGCATGAGGTGTCCAAAGGGGAATAATTGGAGGGTTTTTAGGTACTGATGTAAGAAGATATTTCTATGGAAACCACATCCTGCATTATGGAAGAGAAATACCACAACACACGTTGGTATCAGAATGACAGTTGTAACCTTCCTTTCAGAGCAAACAATTGATCTTGAATTGCTTTCATTTCAGCTTTTCTAGCAGAAAAATCTGCCTTAAACCCTGTGGTGGACAGGATGGCACACAAAGGCCATTCATGCAGAAAAAGTTTGGTGCAGAGAAGAAGAGTGAACAAGCTACAGGCATTAAACTGCCTTTCAGTTCAGGCACTGAACTGTGATAATTCTGTGTGCAAGCTCAGGGTGTAGAACTTCATGTAGATTCCATATTGCATGTTTTATTTCCTGTAGGCTCTTCCCTTATGTTTTGCATTCAATTAACTTGGAAATATACTTCACTAGATTACCATGCTGTAGCTTGGTAAAGAAATTTTGCTCTTTTATCACAGGCTGGTTCTGTGGTAAAAGAGCAAAAATTGATTTTTTTTTTTTAAATTTTTTTTTAGTGGGGAATTTCAAAATCC